TAATTAATATAAAAACTAATTATTTATTAATCTTAATTTAAAATTATATAATATTTATTACTTTTAATATTATAAATATAATAAAATATAAATTAATTTTAAATATTTTTTAGCTTAAATAATATAATTATTAAATTAATTAAATTATTAGCTAGATTTTTTAAGAATAAGCTATATTTAATAAAATAATTATAATTAATAATATAAAATTAAATTTAATTATTAAAGAATATTTAAAAAAAAAGCTTTAAATAAATTTATATATATTTTTAGATTAATAAAGCTAATAATAAAAGAAAAAGAATTTAATAAAAAGAATATTATTAATATATTAAAATTTTTATAAATTATAAAAATAAGAATATAAATATTAATATAAAATAATTAATTTATATTAAAATAATATATTATAAAATAAAATAAAAAATAGAAATTATATTCTAAAGAAATTATTTTAGCTTAAATTAGCAAATAATAATTTAGTAAAAAAAAAAGAAATAATAATTTTTTATATAATATAAGAAAAAAAGAATATTTAATAATATTTATTATTTTTTTAAATAATAGAAATAAAATATAAATTAGAATTAATATTTGCAAATATATTATAAAAATATTATAAATTTAAGAAATTATTCTAAGAAGAATTAAATATAGAATTATTAGAATATAGTTCTTATAATTATAAGATTTTATTATAAGAAGAAAAATAATCTAAGTTTTTTCTTATTTATAAATTAGATAAAATATAATTTGAAATATTTAAAGAATATTTTAATAAGAATCTTAAAAAGAAATATATATAATTATTATAATTATTAATAGAATATTCTATTCTATTTATATTTAAAAAGAATAGTAAGTTTAAGCTATATATTAATTATAAATAATTTAATAATATTATAATTAAGAATTAATACTTATTATTACTTATTAAGAAACTATTAGGATAAAAAGAGCATATAAGTGAAGTGAAGAAGTGTGAGCTGCTCCTAAGCCGCTCTGTTGATGCTTTTATTCAAAGGGATTACTAAACTTATTTCTCTTCTTCTCTTTTTTGCTGCTAAATCTATTATTTCTCTTTCTCTTATGTATACAATTAGCTTAAACTAAATGGGATAACAATGGCTTAATAGCTATACAGTATTATATAAGAGCGCTGCTTCAGAACGAAGCTCTCGCAGCAGCTCTAAACTGTTATCAGAGATCGCAAAAGCTACCTATTTCCTTTGTGCGCATACAAGCTCTAATAAAAACTGCGAAACAGATTGCAAAGAGTATAGTAATTTATAGCTTTAGATCTTAAAAAAGCTTATAATCTAATTAGAATAAAGAAAAAAGAGAAATAAAAAACTGCTTTTAGAATATATTATAAATATTATAAATATTTAATTATATTCTTTAATTTAATAAATATTCCAGCTTTATTTCAAGAAATAATTAATTATATTCTATATAAATATCTTAATTAGTTTATTATTATATATTTTAATAATATTTTTATTTACTTCTAAATATTAAAAGAATATAAAAAGTATATAAAAATAGTATTATAAATATTTTAAAATATAAAACTTTTTATAAAATCTATAAAAAATTATTTTTATATATAAAAAGTTAATTATCTTAAATTTATAATTAAATTAGAATATATTAAGCTATAAAAAAATAAAATAAAAATTATTAGAAATTAGCTAATTTTTAAGAATATTAGAAATATTAAATCTTTTCTTAAATATATTAATTTTTATAAATAGTTTATTAAAAATTATAACTAGATTATATATTTTCTTATAAATCTTATTAAAAAAAAATAGTTTTTTAAATAAATCTTCAAAATATAAAAAGCTTTTAATAAGATTATTAAATATATTATCTTAGAATTAATTCTATATAAAGCAAATTCTTATAAATTATTTAAAATCAAAACTAATATATTAAAATATATATTTAGAAAATAACTTAATTAATAAAATAACTAAGAATATTTAAGAATTATAAGCAATTTTTCAAGAAAATTAAATAACTTAGAAATTAATTATAGAATCTTAGATTAGAAATTTATAATAATAATAAAAGCTTTTAAGAAATAATAATAATATTTTATTAATATATAATATTTAATTATAATTTATTCAAATTATAAGAATCTGATTATATTTATAATAATTAAGATTTTAAATAAATAATAAGTTAGATAAGTAGAATTTCTCTTATAGTTTAATTTCAGAATTGTATACTATAAAAGCTTAGAAAATGAATAAGTAAATGCTTTCAGTAGAAGATTAAACTACTGAAATATAGATTTCTTAAATATATAAAATATCTTTATTCAAGATAAATTAGAGAATCTTATTAATATATATAAGAAGTTAAATATTATTTTTAGAATTGAATCTTTAGAGAAGAATTCAGAATTAATAATTCCAAACGAATAAAACAGCTATATTAGAAATATATATAATGTATTAGCATATAAATATTAAGAAGTTAGAGCAATCTATGAATATATTAGAAGATACTGAAATCTATTAGATTTTAGAAAAAGAATTAAGAATATTTTATAATAATGCAACAGCTGCAAGAAAAATAAAGCAAAAAGATATAAGCTTTACGAATTACTATACTTTTTACTAATACTTATAACTATTTAGCAATTTATTAATCTAAACTTTATTATTAAGCTATTTCTCTTATAAGAACTCTTAATTAAAGTATAATATAATAGTATTTTAGTAATAGTTTGCAAATTAAGTAAGTATACTTATTTTCTCTTCTATAAGAAAAGTAGTATAGCAGAAGAACTTATATATGCATTTCTCAGAATAATTATCATTAATTATAGCATACTAGAAGAAGTAATCTTTAATAAGAATAGAAAGTTTAATTTAAAATTCTAAACTTTATTTATAAAGCAGCTCGAAATATGCTATAGAATATCTATAGCATTTTATTTATAAATAGATAAATAAATGGAAAGAATAAATTAGATTATTAAATTGTAATGAGCACTGCAGCAATCCGAAGATTCCAAAGTACACAAAAGGTTTATGCTAACAAGAGCGGTATTAAAGTGTTAAGTCCTTGAATACGGAACTATACAAGTTCTAGTAAGCAATGCAAGTATTCACTGCCTTTGAAGCTACTCAGTATATAAGACTGAATACTTAGATTAATAACTGAAGAGCTATATACTGAATCTATCTAATAATAATGAATGTGTTCTTATATATTCAGTTCTTTAGTATGGATATGTTGAATAGCAATATATTCAAGTTATTCTGCTAGCTCTGGATAGCATATATTCAAAGCTATTCTTTCTGATTAGCTGTACTTATAACTCTAATTCTGAGTTATATAATCAATGTGTTATGACTCATTCAACATGCAGATCACAGAACAGGTCACGAGTAACAGGGACCAGGTGTCAAGGACTCAACGTCCTGACAAAGCATTGATTACATAACCCAGAGTTAGGGTTGTAAAGGAGGGAGGATCGTTGAGCTTGCTAGCAATCCCAACAAGCTTTACACCTTGAATTGCTAGACTCGCTAGCAATCCCAATGAGCTTCACATCTTGGATCGCTAAGCTCGCCAGCAATCCCAACGAGCTACACTGAAGAGCTGGATATATAAGAACACATTCATTTCCATTAGATAGATCTCATATATAGCTCTTCAGTTATCAATCTAAGTATTCAGTTTCATATACTAAATAGCTTCAAAAGCAGTGAATATTTGCATTGCTTATTAGGATTTGTATAGTTCCGTATTCAAGGATTTAATACTTTAATACTGCTCTTATTAGCATAAACTTCTTTGTATACTTAGAAATCTTCGGATTGCTGCAGTGCTTATTACATTTTGATAATTCTTGTTCAAGAACGGTTCAGTATTACCTCTTGAGCAATACAGAATATAATAGCTTTTCCAGAAATCCCTTCATTCTCATATGCTCCTACTCAGAAAGAACTAATCAACCAGATATATCAGCTTATTCAGCATATCCAGAACCTGCACAAACAATAGCAGGCCCAGAGCGCTACCATCGCCAACCAACAAGCTCAGCTAGCTCAACAGGCTCAGCTAGCTCAACAGGCTCAGCAGGCGCAGTTCACTTCTGCAATCATTAGTGGCGCTGGAAAAATATACAAGATGGATAAGCCTGCTATATATGATGGCAACCAGAAAATGCTATATGAGTTTCTTATCTACTGCAGAGCATATTTTTTGCATTATACAGCTTAGTTTACTATAAAATCTGAGAAAGTTATCCTTGCAGAAACTCATCTTGAAAAGAATGCTCTCATCTAATATAAGCCTTCTCTATGCAATTACTTGGAGCATCAGAACAATCCCAATACATGTACTCAGGGTATCAAGAATATATTTAATTCCTTTGAAAGCTTTGAAAAAGCTTTCAAAGAAACCTTTGATAATTCCAATAAAGAATGTATTACAGCTCAGCAGCTTATGAATCTCAGACAGACCAAGTTAGCTTCTGCTTATACAATCAGATTCAAGCAACTCTCAATGCAATTCTTATAAGAAAATAAGAATCTCATGAAGCACTATTACAAGGGATTCAAGGATAATGTTAAGAATGAAATCTCCAAATAGAATTAGCTAGAGAACTTTGCAATGTTCTCCAATCAAGCTATCCGCATCGATAATTATCTGTATGAATAACAAGTAGAGAAGTTTAAGAAAGAAGGAAGCTAGATTTGAAGATTTCCAGCTAATATAGGCAAGAAACTTTAGAACAAGAATAGCAGTTGATATAGCAGTATAGCTTAGAGCAGCACTATGCATGCTGATTCCATGAAACTCAATGCTGCTAATAGGCAGTATAGCAAGAGGAATAGCATTACTTGCTACAACTGCAACAAACAAGAATATATTGCATGCAACTGCTATCAATCCTGAAAGAACAAATAGCAATCAGTTCAGGAAGAATGCCAGATGAATATCGCTTGATAACAGGAATCCAATCAACTGAGCAAAAACATTCTCTCGAAGCAAGTATTGAACTCTGTTAATTATGGAAGTCTCAGCTGAATATTCTGCTATGATAACAACTGCTTAATATATCTCTCGAGTAAGGAAGATTTAGGATAGTTCTCTCAGAAATCTAGGCGTTATAGGCAGATAGCGATAGCAGGGCGAGGGTATACGCTCAGCACAATTACAAGTAGCAATAACTCGAACTGCTCCAATATCACTGAACGAAGCATTCAGGCGCTGGAGAAAGGGCTTAGCGATAGTACCTTTCGCCATTTCCCATCATCTGTATCAGATACTCTAATCAGAGAAATGAATAAGAGATAATACTTTCTTGGTTATTAATATGAATATCTAAATAATACCGAAAATGCTTCTCAGGCAACAGAAAGATCAAGCTAGAACAAGCGATTCAACAGTTCACCGGAGTCTCCTGTAAACAATGAATCTAAGAAGCTTATAGAAAGGTTTTCCTTTAGCATTAGATGGAATAAGGAAACAATATGAATCGAATATCTCATTTACAGAATAGGGCTGAAAGAGCTCTTCATCTGCATTCCTTTGCAGAACATCAAGATATGAGAAGATAAGGATTCTTGGATCAGCTTACTTTACAATCTATATTACAAATTAGCTTGAATCTCCTATATTTATTATAGCTGCAGAATATATTTCTCAAACAAGATGCAATACGAATAATTCTCCATTAGAGAACTAGAACAGATCTTTTAAGCTATTGAAGAATAGGAATTCCGCTTCAGAGAGGTTTTTAATAAATAGCATTACAATATATACATCAGACTACCAGATAACTGCTCTATACAATGTATAAATAAGAAAATAAAATAGTAGCAGTATAAAATAATATTCTATACGATTTATATCAATAATAAGATTTGCAACTAATATTAATAGAAGAAAGATTAGGAATAATAATAATATAAGCAAAAGCAAGCTAAGAAATTCGCTTAAGAAGCAGCGAAGCAAGCTTAGAAGAACAAGCAGTTCTCAATAAACTCAAAAGAATAGAATCGCTTGTAAAGAGATTGCAAATGATTAGACCGGAATAGTTTCTATATGAAGCTTTCAAGACAGATTATGCTTATATCAAGTTTGATATATATATTCAAGAATACAAATACAGCATACTATTGAACAGTAGCGCTTAGAGAAACTTTATATTCCTATACATCATTAATCAGGTATAATTATAATAGAAATGAAAGAGATGCTTATATACTCTTAGCACTGTAAAAGAACAATCTGTTGCATACAATCAAGAAGTAATTGATAAGAAGACTGATCATCTACCTGTTTTGATTCAAGAATATGTAATCAGAGCTTCTTTTGATATTACAAATACAGCATAGCATAAGCTGATTATAGGATTTCCATAACTCAAGAAGCACAATCCTCGAATCAATTAAACTATTAGCCAGATCTTATAAGAACAAGCTATACCTAGAGAGATAGTTACAATCAACAATGCAGGATTGAAGCTAGTAATTGAAGAATATTCAGAAAAAGAAGCTTCATACAACTTTATATATACTTTTAAGTCAGCAGAGCTAATAGTTCAAGAAGAAGAATCTAGTAATAGGCAAACCCAAACAGTGCCAGAGCGCCAACAGATTAGCAAAACAATGAAAGCAAGACTCTCAGCAAGTCGGTTCGCTTCAAAGCAACAAGGAAAAGCTTCAGAATGTGAATTATAGATCTATACAGAAAAAACCTCGAAACCAGGCTCTCAAGCGCTCAGTCCAGCCCGGAGCGAACGCTCAAAGCTCTCAAAAACATTACCAAAAACAACAAATGAAAAGAAGTATGCTCAGCAGTACTTACTATTTCTCCAGATAGCAGAAACAGCATAGAGATCAGAACTAATACTTACAAATATACTATAAGAATATTACAAGTTCAAGAAACTATTCCAGAAAGAATTGGATACAGAATTGCTAGAATACAGTTTATACAACTACAAGATTCTGCTACAAAAAGAGAAACAGTCCAAATTCTTTCTTATCTATAGACTAAACAAAGCATAACTAGAAGCACTTAGAGAGTATCTCAATGAGAATCTTAAGAAAGAATATATATAACTATTGCAATTACTAGCAGAATACCCTATCCTGTTTATACTCAAGAAGAATAGCAAGCTTAAGCTATGTATTAATTACAAGCAACTCAATAATATTACAATCAAGAATCGATATCTATTACTACTTATCAAGGAATTATGAGATAGATTGCAAGAAGTATAATAGTTTACAGTTCTGAATCTAAAAGAAGCTTATAATCTGATTAGAGTAAAAGAAGGAAAAGAATGGAAAACTGCTTTCAGAATATGCTATGAATACTACGAATATTTGATTATGCTCTTTAGTCTAACAAATGCTTCAGCTTCATTCCAGAAAATAATCAATTACATTCTATGCAAGTATCTGAATTAGTTTATTATTGCTTATCTCAATAATATTCTTATTTACTCTTGAATATTTGAAGAATATAAGAAACATGTGGAAACAGTATTGCAAATGCTTCAAGATGCAAAACTCCTTATAAAACCCGCAAAAAGCTACTTTTATATACAAAAGATCAACTATCTCGAATTTACAATCAAGCTAGGATGCATTAAGCTATAGAAGGATAAGATAGAAGCTGTTAGAAACTAGCTAATTCCTAGAAACATCAGAGATATTAGATCTTTTCTCAGATACATTAACTTCTATAAGCAGTTCATTAAGAACTACAGCTGAATCGCATATCTTCTTACAAATCTTACTAAAAAGAAATAGCCTTTTGAATGAATCTCCAAGGTATAAGAAGCTTTCAATGAGATCATCAGATATATTACTTCAGAACTAATTCTGTATAAAGCAGATTCTTACAAACTCTTTGAAGTTGAGACTGATGCATTAGAATATGCACTTGGAGGACAACTTGGTTAGCGAGATAACCAAGAATGTCTAAGGATTATAAGCAACTTCTCAAAGAAGTTGAATAGCTCAGAAATCAATTATGAGATCTCTGATCAGAAATTCATAGTAATAGTAAAAGCTTTCGAGAAATAGCAATACTATCTCATTAGCGCACAATACCCGATCATAGTTCACTCAGATCATAAGAATCTAATTATATTCATAATAATTAAGATTTTGAATAAGCAATAAGTTAGATAAGCAGAATTCCTCTTACAGTTTGATTTCAAAATCATGCATTACAAAAGCTCAGAGAATGAATAAGCAGATGCTTTCAGCAGAAGATCAAACTATTGAGATAGAGATTCTTCGAATATACAGAATATCTTCGCTCAAGATAAGTCGAGAAATCTTGTTAATATATATAGAGAACTAAATGCTGCTCTCAGAATCGGATTCTTGGAAAGGAATTCAGAATCAATAACTCCGGACGAACAAGATAGCTATATTAAGAATATATACAATACATCAGCATATGGGCACCAGGGAATCAGAGCAACCTATGAATGCATCAAAAGATACTGAAATCTACTAAGTCTTAGAAAAAGAATTGAAAGTATTCTATAATAATGCAATAGCTATAAGAAAAATAAAGCAGAGAAATACAAGCCTTACAGACTACTGCATTCCTTATCAGTACTTATAACTGTTTAGCAATTCATTAGTCTAAACTTCATTACCAAGCTACTTCTCTTACAAGAACTCTTAATTAAGATGCAATATAATAGCATTCTAATAATGATTTGCAAACTGAGCAAGTATGCTTATTTTCTTCTCTACAAAGAAAGCAGTATAGCAGAAGAACTTGTATATGCATTTCTCAGAACGATTATTGCTAACTACAGCATATCAGAAGAAGTAATCTTCAACAGAAATAGAAAATTCAACTCAAAGTTTTGAACTTCGCTTATAAAATAGCTCAGAATACACTATAGAATATTTATAGCATTTTACTTGCAAACAGATAAATAGATAGAAAGAATAAATCAGATTATTGAATAGTATCTTCAATACTATATCAACTAGAAATAGGATAACTGAATTAACTTATTGCTTCTCGCACAGTTCGCTTATAATAATGCAGATACAAGCATAATAAAGAAATCACTATTCTTCGTACTCTATAGATATAATTCAACAGCTTACTACGAAGCACTGCCAGAAGCAGATGCAGAAGCTGCAGATAAAAGAGTTAAGAAGATTAAGAAAGTTCAGAAGGAATTCCGATCAGAACTACAATTCGTTTAGAAATGAATAGTACAATATGCAAACTCCAAAAGAATTAAGAAACCAATCCTATAGAAAGGAGATAAGATCTATCTACTTCAGAAAAACATCAAAACAACAAGGCTTAGCAACAAACTCGACTATAAGAAGTTGGAACTATTCAAAATCTTGCAATAGATTTTCTCAGTTAATTACAAGTTAGCATTATCTTATAGGATGAGAATATACTCAGTCTTCCACATTTTACTGCTAGAACTAGCAGCATAGGAAATACTAATAGATAATACAGCAGAAGTGGAAAATAATGAACCAGAGTATGAAGTAGAAAAGATTCTCAAGCAT